TGTTCGATAACACGTGCAATCTTGTATTAGGCATATATTTCAACAGCTCCACGTGAACTTTATCTAGATTCTCTGTTTAACCAGATTAACATTTCTTCAGAGCATTCATAATCTCATAACGGGGTGAGGATACATCAACGCTGCAGTCTTCATAAGACGTCATACTTTGCTGAAAGTGAGCCACTGAAGTATTTGGCGGGAGTAGGTTTATAGTTGCTAGAAATGTTCGCAAAATCGTTCGGCACATTTTAGTCCTATGAGGCACATGCCGATCCATCCTTCAAAGCTGGTATTATTTCTTCCGCTGCATTGCCGCATTAAAGCAAACGCTTGTCTAAATTTGTATTTGAATGCTTTTTCCAGAACAGCAGCTCGTTTTAGCCAAAGAGCATCCTTTTCTTCAGTCAAATGATATTTCGGTTAAGTTTCCTTCTCATTCGTCAATGCTGTATCTTCTGCAAGTCCGGCTCTTTACGGTTCTTTCATCAGCTTCTCAGTTCTTGCTCACCTCAGATTGACACGTACGATCTGTCTGGAGTACTGGAATACTGGAATCCTTTCTCTAGCGACAGTCACTAGGCAGCTGCTGAAATTACCGTGCGTCCTAGGCAAATGCGCTTCTATTGTCTGACTGAACATGATTGAAAAATTTCTCCGGGATCTGGATTTTCTTGTAACGATGCTATATAAAGCCTTGGCATCGTCTCCAATCGTTTGGCAGTAATACACGGCACCATAAATAAAACCACTGGGTCATGGTCAAAAAGACAGATGCATCGGAGATGGTGTTGGACCGCTTTACTATGTGCTTCCAACGGTCACTTAAGAGTATGTAATACAACTGTAGCTGTAACATCGTTTACCCACCCTCTTTCCGTTGTTCAGTAATCAAACCCTTTTATCTTGCCATACTGGTCTTTATGAGCGTCGATTGCGCTTCAGGGTCGTCACAATTGTCAGGCTGAATGATTCGGCGAGGTTGAGGAGCATCGATCCATTTTTTGTTATTGTATTTGCTGGCAGGAATCATTCCCCACTGTGATGCTCCCTTCACCGTTACCGAATTACATATTCAACGGATTACGAGGTCATTTGACGGCATGGCAACAAGTAATTGTTCAAACCTACCGTAGAAAGAGTTCTTTCCACGCCCATCTGTATTATCGCAAGCGCAGGAGCAATTATAATCCATGTTGTTCTGAACGATTTCGAGATCTTTATCCAGCATAATCTTGGGCCAATCGAACCCCCATATATAAGATGCCATGTCAGCAGGATAGCGCATTTTTGTGATTTCATCTTTCTTTAATGTTTCTGTTTCGTGTTTCTTTTCGTGTTTCTTGGAGGGCACGTGATCAGTGCGTTTAGATTGTTTAAGGTTCTTGTAGTGGCAGATTCAGTGGCTTCATCTTTCAAGGACTGGCAGTTCAAGGTGGCAATATTTGGCTTCTTCCATAGTCGAAACAAATTTTGCGGTAGCCATGAAAAGGTCCTTTGGGTCTGAACAGAGATACGGCTCGCATTGGCAATGTTTGTGCGCCTACAAATGCAGTGAGAAGTTGGTGTCAGGTCATCTATCCTAAGTTTTTGCTGATATCTGATCTTGGAGATCACGGCTGGATAATTATATCACAGTATGAACCTAGAAAGTACCATGTGGAGACAGAGTCAAACACTCAACCTCCAATAGGGAACGTTATGTAACAATAATTGCAAAAACTGATTGCTGACTGATTTTGCAAGGTCGTCATATAATGGCCGCTGGAAGATGGACTCAGCTCGATCAAAAACAGAAATTTTGTGTAATCAAATTTATACGATGAATAAATCCTTGGAAAATTGTGACAATGAAAAGCTAGACAGACTTAGTAAATATTTTGATGAATAATCAGAACTATACTTTTCCAATGAATCGTCACTGTTCGGCTTCAGCTGCAGCATGGTTTGCTGTGCTTCGGCGAGATCGCTGTCGTAAGGCGGCAAGGCGCATTGCAGATTCCTGATCACCCGTGGTAGACGAAGCCGTTTTGGCGGGAAGCGGGAATTCAGTGTGCTTGAACCTGAGACCACTTCTTTCGCCGCAGCAGCGGCGCCACTGGCAAAATCGAGCACGCCCTGCACAGGTTTGGCGACGGTGCCTACGAGACCTTTGCCGAATCCGGACACGAGACCCTTAACATAACAACAGTGAGGCTAACCAAGAAGGGAAAGCAAATGCATAAATGTTTGCCTGCAAGCCACTGTTCACCGCTCCGTCGACCATTTGACTCAACAATGACGTCACACCACCAAAAACTCCAATGCCCAAACCCTTAAAGCCAGTCATCAAATGACCAATGGGGTTCTGAGCGTTGCCGTGACGAATCGTTGCGCGGTAGTGACGATGCTGCTCGTCCATCGAAAACTTGCCGACTCCTTCTGACAATGCGTTTGTGATCTTGGCGGCCGAATTCGACACTCCGTGCCAAACACCAGTCACGAAGCCTGCTACGTTGCCTTCGATTATCAACTCCTGAAGACCACCGCTGACGTCATAAAACAATCCCAGCGGGTTTCCGAGAAAATCGACGCTGCCCAAAATTTTCACCGCTTGACTTTTTAACTCTCCTGCAAGAGGTAAAAGTATGAGCAATGAAAGATCTGCTTAAAGACGAAACAGTTCACATTCTCTGCAATAAAATAAACGATCAAGGGCTAAAAACTCTCATTGTCCCACCTTTGAATACAGGCTTGAAAGTTGTGCGACCCACAGTGGATCATCACAGTATAGGAAACCTTCAGAAGCTTCCACTTCCGCCAGCAATGAGCAAATGAACAAATCAGCGACTGAATGCACAACAAACAACGACAAACAACTGAAACACGCAAAGCAAGAATAAGTGGGAAAATAAAGTAATAGATGAACAAATGAATGAATGAAGAGACTAACAAATGAATGGAATGAATGAATCAATAGATAAATGAAGGCATAAATAAAGGAATGGGTAATTTCATGAATGATAGATTGAAAATATGAGCAAACGAACGAGAGGATAAATCAATAAGTGAACGAACGAATGAATTTCGAACAGATGGCTGAAACAAGCAAGCCAAGAATGAGTGGATGAGTGAGGAAATTAATGAACACAATAATGAGCAAATGGATGAATACAACAGAATGAACGACAGAATGAACGAATCAATCAATCGATTTGCTGTTGTAACCGGAGTATAAAAAGATCAGTCCTTCAGTACAGAAAAAGGAACACGCACTCAAGTGTTACAACATGGACTAAGTGGCAAGGAGCGCGTAATTTTGACAGTATAATATTTAGAACTCAGCAGCTATTGGTGGATAGTACAATCAGAAGGTGAATGTTTTTCCGATACTGATGTTTCAGAGCCATCTGCCAACTTTTAGCGCCACGTTCGTGCCTCGGCGCTTCGGCAAGAAACTTTCTCCTGCTGATGACGAATTTGAAGATTTTTAGCGCTAATGTCGCATCATCTTCTAGTGAGATTTCAAGGAATACGTAAGCCCGTACTGAAATGTATATCTGTCCAAGAAGAGCTGCTGAAAACTACA